GTGAACGGGATCGAACAAAGGCCGAGCTGGAGGGTGGCAGTCCCAGGCCTTCCCATCTGGTTGGTCAGTTTGGGGCAAGAAGGAGTGGGTGAATCGTGCCATACTGTAGGTTGCTACTTTTGTCCTGAGTGAGTCGAGACTACCAATACCGTATTTTCCGGCGTATAAGACGACCCCCTGACTTTTCCAGTTAAAATATATATTTTGTTATATACTCGCCGTATAAGACTGCCCCCTCTTCCGCACACCAAATAAAACTTATATGAACATCAGATTTCATTTCAACATGGTAATCTTAATTCAAAGCGGCAAAACTGTCACTTATAAACATGAGGCTGAATGTCATCAAACATGTACCGTAAACATAAGTGCAAGTGGATTAAACTCAAAAGCTGAATGAAAGGATAACACAATAAACGCATGGGAGCTGCGATACTCTTTGTTTTCTAAGCTATAAACTAAACTGCAATTGACAATGATAGGAGGAAGTTAACAAACAATAAAGAGAGAGAGCAATTGCTGGGCAAGTCACTGGCGAGTAGTATGTATCATAACTGCAAGCTATGGTATTTTTTGCTAGCGTGACAGCCTTCAAAATCCCACTGTTCGTCATCTGATATCATAAGTTCCCTAAACTCCACTCGGCGTATAAGACGACCCTCCACTTAGGAGCCGAAATTCATGCAAAATACGGTAGATCATGTATGTGAGTTGCATTCACACTATTTCGTCTACATTGATGAAGAACAGGTAGTTGCTGGTGCTTCCATTGAAGTTGGCATAGCCTTGCTTTTATAAAAAGTGTTCTCATCCAGTGTGGACTGCAGTCTTGACCTTGCATAGGTCTTATCAACACCCCAAACGGGAATCGAACCGTTGAAATGCAGCATATACTGCACCACATTTTCACGAGTGCCCTTGGGTCACAGGGCATATGCAATATCATTTTGCATGATATAGAAAATGCCCGAGATTCCTCAAAATAGTGTGAATACAACTCATATAGGTTGCCACGACTGCATTGGAGGATGGGTCCTGTCCAAGCCCAAGTTGAAATCACTCTCAACGCACTCAGTCAACTTTGGCAAGCTGCAAGATCGCTCTCCAGCCTCACGTCGTACCAAGCAGTTGCTGTGGCGGCCTGATCTGCTCGCTCCCTCGTAGGCCTGGCTCGAACGGGAGCGCGGCCAGTTGACACTTGATCGAATGGATCCTCGAATAGAGCTCATGAGCGGTTGTCAACTGGTTTGTATAACTCATGTCCCAATTCATATTTTGTTGTCTGACTCAAACCAAATCACATGCGCCCGAGATGAGCGTAAAGTATTAAGTGCAGACTGGCTGGTTGCTACTTCTGCGCCTCGATTGCAGATGACACACGGTCAATCTGCTGGCAGTCAGCTTGTCGGTAGTGTAGCAACTGCAATCAGGGTTTAGCTTTAAGTTGGTCTCATTTGTACTTTGCAACTTGGTCGTGGCGAGAGACAGACCTTGAAGAGAGCATCCAGTCTTGTACCATCGTCCAACGTAGTCATGTTCATTTTCAACATCCGACCTCGGACTCGGTGACTTGACGAATGCTCGGCAGACAGTATTAGCTCCGAGTGGCGAATAAACAGAATCCCTTTAAGCCGCTTTCTGTCCAATATCTGCGACATCTCTTCTGCCCTTCTGTATTGGCGTATAGAACTGCATCGTCCTCCATCATTGCCTCTTCAAAATGCCACATCTCGACAAGTTTGTTTGTTTTAATCGAAAGTATGAAGACCAAGATGGTGTGGTATTTATTGTGGTCGCAGTCTCCTTCCTTTGCATAGAAATTGTTTGACTTTGTAGGAACGTGCCTTGTCCTGAGTCAATTGTATGCATAATTATTTCCAAAGTCGGACCTATTCGAAGCATGTCCTCACTTAATTGAACTTGGCGAGACACAAATATTTTCACCGACCTCATGACAATGTATCTCTTCACAATTGGTGCTTCTAGTCGGCAGTCAACTTTACTCGACTTGTGTCGGCTATCTACAGCCCCTCAATATGGCCGGCCAGTTTGGATACATGGAAAGGATTCCTGTCGACTTCATGTGTTCGAAAGTCCGGCATTCGAGTTGTCTAATTGAAGACAAATGAACTTCGCCAGGCTGGAGGTTGCCACGGCTTTGTTATTGGCTCTCTGTTGCGTTGTCTTACGTCTTTTGGTACTAATGCCCTCATTGCTTGCCGCCGATTTTCCCGTTAGTATCCATTTTCTTTGCTATTCCTTGCGGCGTCCGCTTAATCTTCGCTATTGGGTACAATCAGTCGCAGCCGACTAGGTGCTTTGTCCGAAAACTATTTTCCACTTTTCCTGTTTTTCGTTTTCCATCCACCAATATTGTGGTAACTACTTTGTTCGTTTCTTCGTACTATTCAGTCGTTTCATTTTAATTTTCCTCACGCTATTAAGGTTCGTAGACTCTTGGCGTGTCTAAACTTGTCGGTGTATTATCCATCTTGATCTTGTGTACATGCACACACGTGCATTCGTGTACATCGATGAGGGTAGATAAAGCAAATGGCTAATCAACTATTTGTCTACCATTGTTGAGCTCCCTCGCATTTCAAGAGAAAGTGTGCGATAAAGAGACGCAAAGGTCCATCCTACCAGAAGACGACACTGGACTTGTCTTGGCCAAATGCCTATTTTTTCGTAAATGAATAGGTTTACGAGACTACCAGTAAATCAGAAATATGAGTTGTGCTCACCCTATTTCGGTTAAGGTGATGAAGGCCTTGTGAAATTGACTGGAAACGTCAGCTCTACTCATATCGTTGTGGGAAAAATCAACTGCCATTCCTTCATCAGGTTAAATGAAATAGGATGAACACAACTCAAGTGCCGATTGTTTTTAGTGTAACATTCTTTTTGATGCTTTCCTTGACGCAATTAGAATATTTGGGCTTCAAAGGCTCTGTCGATTTTAAATAGTTGAGC